GGCCAAGGGGAGTGTAAGAGACCACAAAGGGACCGGGGGTGGTGGAAGAAACCACAAAGGGACAGGGCAGTTGAAAAGACACACAATAAGGGCTTGGCAAATGGAGAAAGAGACACACAAAAGGGGCAATGGAAGAGACACACACAGAGGGGTGGGGGAAAGGTAAAAATAGACACACAGAAGGGGTAGATACACAAAGAGGCTGTGGAAGGGTAAAATGAGTCACACACAATAACTGGGAGGGGAAGAGACACAAAGAGGCAGAGGAAGGGGAGAAAGAGACACACAAAGGGGCTAAGAGACACAGAGAGGGGCTGGTGGGATGAAAAGACACACAGAGGGGATGGGGGGAGAAAGAGACAAACACAAAGAAGCTGGGATGATTAAAAGACACAAAGGGGCTGGGGTGAAGTAAGGGACATGTAAAAGTGTTGTGGTTGATCAGTGTGAATACATACAAGATCCAGCGCACTAACTCACTCACTAAACACCAATTTCAAATTTGACAAAATTTTTATTTGTTCTTAAAACACCTAACAAAAATAATGGGGATTTAGTTATCGTATACATGAACCTGCCATAACTCCAATCTACCCCATTCTTGGCAGGTCCTACTCTAGCACCTAATGCCTGCTCTTATAAAACCAACCCACCCTATTGGGAAATCTTTCCTCCTGGGGCTCTCTGCAATATAAGGATGAGACACCCGTCACAGAGAGGGGTGCAAAGCCATGGAAGTTGGCCTTTACTCCCAAATATATTATAATATATGCATGCTCAGGTAAGTTCATCCTTCTTGGTTTATTATATTCTTGGTTTATTATATATATATATATATATATATATAGACACTTGTGTATATGCATGCATGTGTGCATATCCCTTATTTCCACCAATCCAGCAAACATGCAGGCCTATAGATCACACTTGACAGATATTTGACATGACAGCAAAGGGAGATTTTGGCCTGAGGGTGGACGTAATATTATTGATGTTTAGAATTAATTCAAACTTGTTATAACATTTTTCACTTGATTCTATCACATCACAAATTCCCTCCATGATATTACCATACTTAAAACACCAGCTTCTGTCTTAGCACAAACTAATGTACAACTACCCCTATTGTTATACAATGGGTTCTAAAAAGTATTCTTACTATATTTTGCAAATTATTTCAATGGTCATATTGCTACCAGAAACAGAGCAACAGAACAATTGGAATAAACCTATATCTGGGCTAAACATGTAGAGTATGTCAGTAACGCAAGAGGTATAGGCATAGAGAAATAAGCATGGCGATATTACGAGATTTCATTTAAGCTTGGAAGAGTGCTATGAGTATCTGAACAATTTCCCTCTCTGGATCAGTACACCCATTCGTACACAGGGTCTGCAATACTGATGGCTCAGACTAAAGGGACTTCAAAAATAATTACAGCTTGTATTCTGTACCCCTCTATTTTCCTGTCAGGCTTCTGACAAAAGTATTTGTACAGATCTTTGATGTTTCACACTCTAGAAAATGTATTGTGATTTAGAGAGTTAAGTATTCTACCAACTATCTGCTTTTACTTTTTAAAGTATATAAAATAATTTTCAGGCATATAATTGCAGTAGGCACTTTCATTAAACATTTTGTTATACCTGAGGTGGAAGAAATAGCTTTTATTAAAAAATTAATACACCAGTACAATGTTGGAACTAATGAACAGAGGGCCCCTTCACTTTATTTCAATATTCTTATAGGGATACTCTAAGCACAGGAACCACTGCAGTGCCAGGGAATAATGGGCCAACTTGGTATCATAATGCAGAAATCCCTTGGTATTTTATTTGTTTTATCTTTCTCTTGCACTTATTTTGGGTTGGGTTGTTATTGGTGTATTTTGGCACTTCCTGTATTTTATTTGTTATTTATATCTACATAGCTGCGATCCCACTCCCTTCATTAGTGATGCACTGCTCAGGATTGAAGATCTGTCTTACTGATGGGACCTTAGGTGCTCTCTGATAGCATCCAGATTTTTTTTTTCTTCATTACTTGGATTGGGAATTCTGGATTTAAAATGGGCCTTTAAGAGTTAGAAGACTTCTGATGGTAAGTATATATTTATATTATTTTTATAGATATTAGTTTTATTTTCCCACCCTCAGTATTTTTAGGGGGTGGGTTATGTAGGGCTGTTTATTTTTAATGAGGGTTTTCTAGCGGATTGGGTTTGCCCAGTTGTTAGTTTTAAACTTTTAATACATATGTCCACATCTGCTAAATGGCCGGTGGAGGCATAGGAAAGTTTTAAATCTCCTTTAAAGGACCACTATAGTGCTAGGAAAACATACTCGTTTTCCCGGCACTATAGTGCCCTGAGGGTGCCCCCACCCTCAGGGACCCCCTCCCGCCCGGCTCTGGAAGGGGGAAAGGGATAAAAACTTACCTTTTTCCAGCGCTGGGCGGAGAGCTCTCCTCCTCCGATCCTCCTCTTCTCCTACCCGTCGACTGAATGCGCACGCGCGGCAAGAGCTGCGCGCGCATTCAGCCGGTCGCATAGGAAAGCAATCATAATGCTTCCCTATGGACGATGGCGTGCTCTCACTGTGAGGCTTTTTTAAAATGTATTTATTTTTTTACTTTTAACTTTTTTTTAAATGTAGATTTAGAAAATTTGCAGATGCGTATCTTGCCAGATACATTTGGTTCCAAATTTTAGCAAAGTGGGTCCTTTGCGAATATTCTGACTCCTATACTTTGTATAGGTTTTGTATGCGGCAGCACAGATTTTAATCAGGCCACCGAATGCATCTCGGTGATTGCTGTAGATTTGCTTAGGCCAACTTTATTTTATAACATGACAGGAGGCTTCATATTTGCTTAAGTATCTCTTTACTAGAACTCCACAGCAGCACATTAACACAGAGAAAAAACAACCAATCAGAAAAAAGGGAGGTACAATAAAAATCCCCTCCCCACACATAACTTCCTCTTTCTTTGCTGCTTCACATCAGTACAGGTCAAAGTACACTGCCTCCGCTCTTGTGGGTGACTGTGGATTTTAGCTACTGTAATTGTGGGTTGACTTTAGGGGTTTTGTTTTGCTTTCCTCTCCCCTGTTTATTCCATTATTTTTACCTAGTTTTTCCTATCTAATTTTTCCCTTAGGCCTGTCTAGCCTTTCTCTGGCTGACTTGATCTACCTTTTCACCCCTTTGTACTTTTCACTTTTATCTGTAGTTGTTGTCAAATAACTGATAGTTTTTCCTGTTTCTTTTCTTTATGCTACTGGGTGTTAGATAGTCTCAGGGACTTCTGCCTTGCTGACCCCTTCGACGTCCCGAGCACCGGGACCACAAAGTTTATCTTTGGCGGTCCCATGTGTTTTTCCCCACGGCCTCCTTGGACCTCGCGCAATTGTGCGAGATCCCGACAGCCGGAGCCACCCTCCCTCACCGCATCCGCTTTTCTCTGCCCCATCGAACCGTGGCCGGCGGTTGCCGCGGCCCACGTGTGCCCGGGCAGACGGGGAGAGTGTGGGTGACCGCTGCCCTTCCCACAGTGTTGGAGCTACTTCCGTAGGGTAAGCAGCTCCTTGCTTTTCTCCTCTGGTGCCAGTGTTCCCTGAGATGGCCTTTATAGCCAACCTGATTGCTGAAAGGTTAATGCTCCTTCTGCAGTGTCATAAAGTTTCAGGATTGAGACTCTGCATGGGTTAACTCCTTCCATCTGTCTGCATTAAACAAAATGAACATTGCATTGTTTGGAATTTTAATAGCATGTCTTGGTTAGATGGTTGGTATTTTGGAATTCCCTTAAACCGTTTGTAGTCCTTCCTTTCATTTAAGTGAGATAGTTTATGTGTTTTTCATATCCCTATATAAATTGCCTTTGCGTGGGATTCTATTTTCTTTTCTTTTTATTGTATTATACTGGTATTTTCTCTTCCTTTCATACTCCTCGTGGGGCACAGGCTTTCTTTCCGGACCTCTACCCCTCTACCCCTCCATGGTATCTACTCCCATGCCTGCCCTTTGGTGTTGGGGACTATTTTTTCATTAGGTGGCGGTGGCATATCTTGGTCTGTTTAGTGTATATTTACTCACTGTAGGACACGTTGTAGTGCATGCTGAGACCCTTTGGTGGGTGATGAGCACCCCCCAGTTTACAGGTTTCTTTCCTGCCCTGGACGGTTAGGGCCTCCTCATGCAGCCGGTGTACAGCTCTTTATGTTGAGGCGTGCCATTCCGACCCTATGTGTTTATAGTTTTCTTCGGTTTTCAGGGTGTGCTGTATGCCTGTGTTTGTGGTCTTTTCTCTGTAATTTTTTCTGTCTTTAGCTGCATATCCTATATCTTATTATATCTATTGTCATGTATGTATATTTATTTATTTCCTATTTGGTTTACCTGTCCTTTATTTTCCTTTCCGTGATATTACTTTTCCTCTGATGTATATGTTTTCCTTTATCTCAACTTTATTTTTAGTTCTGTCGTTTCTTTGTTTTGTGTCTTTCGTTTTTCTACTCCCGCTCGGGATGTTGAGGGGCCTCACCTTGGCCTCCTCTGACTTCCCAGGCTCTCATGGATCGCTGAGAATGTCTCCAGCGTTTCCTCAGGCCACCGGCGGCCATCATGGACCCCGCGCACTTGCGCGGAATCCAGGCAGCCGTTTTTAGATTTCTTATTTTTCTAGTTATTGCAGCTTATCAGACTGACTCCCTTATTAGACTCATGGGCATGGTCCTAGGCTGAATTGTTATTGAATTGTCAGTTTTGTTTATCCCCAATGTGGGTCCACCTCTCATATGAATGATACCGGGAGTAATTTCATTATTAGAGGGTGAGCCCCTCTCATGACCTCAGTTCAACGCTGATAGTGCTATGACTTACATTATTAGAGGGTGAGCCTGAGTCTGATATGGACTCTGATTGTATTATAAGAGGGTGCAGCCCTCCCATAACCTCAGTCTGATGCTGATATTGATATTGATGCAATCTTGGGATATATGGACCTCTACTCCTCTGAGAACGAAACTGGAGAGCACGATTCGGATGTGGACGACTCTCTCACTGTATACAAATCCCCTCCCGGAGGTAGTCCTGGATTTATCTTTCACTCACCCACCTATTCAGGTACCGACAAGGATGGCTGCTTGGATTCAATGGGGGAACCTGTCTTCGACATCGAGTCCTACACAGATGTCACAAAGTCGGGATGCGACCTTCCGCTGGAGTATTGCTCACAAACTGTGTCTGGCTCAGGTCAGGCTATCCAACCATTCTCGAAACACAGGCACAGTCTCTGCTCCTGGCGGATGAAGCTCCCTTTTTCACAATATCTGTTCCCTGGATTCAGCTGTCATTGGTGAATGGGCTTTACGTTCTATATATGTATTAGGCAACGCTAAAAGTTTACGGTGGTCTAGACGAAGATGGGTGGTATTTCTTTGTATGGATGCCTAGATTTCAGACCTCAAATTCAAAGACCTGGGTCCCTTGGCTTATGGCCTACTCTTGAGAGTAACATTCTTCAGAAAGTCATGAACCTAGGGACCTAGATGCCTCACCCAATTATAACCTATAACCGCTCAACAAGGCCTGATTCTGTTTCCACCTGTCTACTCTTCGGCCCACATTCAACTCATTTGCGTTCCTACGACCAACGACTGCTCTTCTTCGTTTATACAGGTTCCAATTACCCCATGGATCCGGACCTTCTATCGCTCTTCGACAATGATGCCTTCGGACGGAAATCTCAACCTCTATTTACGTTCCCCTCATTTTTGTATCTCAAGGCTTCACAGTCTCCCAGGGTAGTAAATCCTAATTTCGCCCCACGGATACGGTTCTTGGAACTCTGAATAGACGCTCCTTTAGGAGTACTTCGACTACCACAGTCACAGGTGCCGCAATGCGATTTGAGTACTGGAGACATCTAGGATGCGACTAGGTTTCCCCCCGCACTCTTGCCAGAGTAGTAGATCTATTCTCAGATGAGACCACTCTCTTCCTAGGCCATGAGGGAACGGAAAGGCTCTATTCGGTTCTGTTACAGACTTGGTTGTGGATTCGGACGCATAGCTTACGGTTGAGGAACTGCCTGCGCAACCACATCACCTGGTAATCCTGGCACGATTGGAGGAGCTGCCTTCCACATCAAGGGTCGAGACCTGGTGGCAGTTTTCTTGCAGGTCCAAGCCCGCCAATGATCTTCGGAATTTTGACTCTGCATGAGAATGGACAATATGTCAGCTTTGCAGTTCATGGACCGTCTTCACAGAACCAGGTTGCAACTCCCCATGTACAGCGGATCTAACAGCGGCTTGTTTTTTTCCCAATAGTTTGAGGGACACTGACGACTGGCATCTTCATCGATCAATCTGCTGTCACTTCTTGCAATTGGAAGGTCCATTCGGGATTATTCTAGTTATCATTGGCTTTGTTGGCTGAGCTTTAAAACAGCAAATATGAAGCCTCCTGTCATGTTATACAATTGTAGATTCTGCTAGCTTTAGTATACCTATAATCTTAATTTTATTAATGACAGGAGGCGGATATTTCCCTCCCATTTTTATCCCTCCCTTGTTGGTTAGTTTTCAAAAGTTTGGGGTAATCAGGTAAGTATGTAACTCTGCTCGTTGTCTCTGCTACCTGTCACTTGTTCATGTGTCCGCTTCCTATGTGAGGGCTGGGATGTCTGTATATTATGGTATTTCTGGTTGTTGCACTGGGTGCTGGCATGTTTTGTTCAGAATACATTTCATTATCTAACCAACCCTTTCGATTCTGTTTTTCTCGTTTCAGTTTACAGTCTGTGGTGCCAGGTTTGACATTTCTTAATGGATGGATGACGTCGTTGCATTCATTGTATCTAGGATTTAGATTTTCTCTACATTGTTTTTTCTGCCTTTTGTTCTGTTTTTGTCACAGCTTGAAAGAGGAAGTAATGTGTGGGGAGGGTAGTTTTATCCTAACTTTTTTCTGATTGGTTGTTTTCTCTCTGTGTTAATGTGGTGCTGTGGAGTTCTAGTTAAGAGAGACTTAAGCAAATATTCGCCTCCTGTCATTAATAAAATTAAGATTATAGGTACACTAAAGCTAGCATAATCTACAATTCCTACTGTATTTGGCTTAAATGACTATGAAAATTGCAATTACTGTCAGAATTTGGTCATTTACACCAGATTGTCCACCCAGACAAAATCCGGTGTTTAGTGAATAGCCCTGCTAGTCACGACCTCCCTTCAGGCTATGATATGCAAAATTGCTCCATAAGATTAATTTGGATAATGCTAAATTGCTCTACATTTGTGTCTGTTTTTCCACTGGCTTTTGTGTTTCGTCCATGGTTTTTCTGCATATTTAATTGTGCAAAAAAAAAAAAAAGATTAGGGATACAGGTTAGGTTTAGATATCTTTCACTTTTCAACTTCCGTTAATTTTAGATCTGACAAAACATCATAAATACTATTTCCAGCAAGGAGATAAGCCATTAATACACTTTCTGATGACATAATACCAAAACTCCTATTTATAGCTATCTACTTCTCTATTTTTATTGCTGTTGGTTAACTCTATGTTGTAATTTTGAGGACTGTTGTCACCCTATGACTGCTCTTAGTTGAAGCAGGCCTTCTTGTCATCTGTCACGTCTCTGCAGGATACCTTGGCACAGTGACTCTGGAAGCCTTCCAGGAGACATTTTATTGTATAAGTTTAGAGCTGCAGCTGAGGTCTTCCTTAGTGCAGATAGAAAAAACTGCTCTCAGGTACATAAATGGGGCCAACCTCTTGGAAAACACAAAAAATGTATATTAGCTGATTTTTAGGGTAAACTGTGAAATAAAATCAAACTATGTATTTTCATAAGTAATGCATCCCATAGATTGTTACTGTGACAAAACACAAAAGAGTAAAATGATTAACAAAAAACAAACAAGTTCAAGCTACAAATGTAAGGAGTATTTCAAAATAAATACGTTCTCTGTAAGTTTTGCCTGCATTACAATATAAATGAAACACCACTTGAACTTCACCTGTCACAGTAACACCAAACATGAAGAAGATAAGTGCAGACAAAAAAAAAAAAGGATATAGCTTTTAAGTTCCCCTTCTGTAGGGGAAGTTAAATGAGGTCATTGTTTTGACTAAGTAATTAACCACTTTCTCTCTATAAGCAGCGTAAGCATAAGCTATCCCTAATCAAACTTACAGCACACAACTTTTTTGGTGTTAGGCTACTTTTAAAAATTAGAAAACTAGGTGGGGAGAGCATAATGGCCATGCTGGATGGTCGCAAAGCAAAAAGGCACCTCAGAACTTTTCTAAATTTTAGTAGAATTTCCACTTATTCTGGAATGCTACACATACTTACCTACAAAGAAACCGTTTATACAAATCTGCTGTTTGGGGAAAGCTTATAGTGCCTGACTGTTTGAGCCTCCTGCAGGCCTGGTGGGAGAAATGGGCAATCACTCACCGGGTTCTCAACCTGTCTAATTGTGAAGTGTTGCTGGAGGACCTCCATTCCCTCCCCCCCCCATCCCACCTTTTTGAAACAGTGGGTCTTGAGTTACCTCAGACCCCACTAAGGAGGCTGCTGAACCATGCCAGCAATTGGAAGATATCCTGGCTAAATATGACCAACTGTTCAAGAGATTCTTTGCTCGGTTGACTCAAAAAGTGGCACCGCGACCGCCTTCATCTTACCTGCCAGTTGGAGAGCATCAGTGGCAAAGACAAGATCTTCAGAGACCCCATGCTGGGCAACTCCAAAAGTTCCACTATTACTTTACCACAGATGTGCCTACCAGGGCTGGAAGTGTCTAGACTGTAGAGGAATATATCCCTCTCACCGCCCACATCCTCCATGGAGTGTTTTGCAGAAGACGCACCAACAACCTTTGTCACTCTCTGGAACTCATGCCTTGGACATTATTTATGTCTGGGACAGTGAAGATCGGGTGACAGCTCCAGTAAAAGCCTGGGGCTGGTATGAAGTGATTCCAGGGCTCCATTGTGGCTGTGGTGTACTGCTGAGTGGCACTTACACTCTGCCTAATGCATTACCCAATGCAGGCATAGTTTGACCATTTAAGCTGGATATTTGCCCCTTCGACAGACCTCCTTTCACGTTTTTTGTATATATTATAAGCCTGTGCATTGTGCCTCAGAATTTAAGTTTCATACATGAGCTGTCTGGCCTGCGAGTGGTTTACTGGTGTTAAAGCTTGTTTTATCAATTTTACTTACCACTATTTAAGATTTTTCTCAGTGCTTATATTATATTATTTGCTTAATTTATTTTGATTTCAGTTTCTCTAGCACTGTCTACTTCTCATGCTTACCTAATACAGAACAGAATATTACAACTGTGATTATCTCAGATGGGAACAGGTGGTTACAGAAAGCTAGTGTATGCTCTCACAACTTGTACTTTCAGAAGCCTGCTAATTATGTGTCATAACACTATTTGCCTATCTCACATTTTCTTGTTTTACTTAAAAATGAGATGTTTATCCTGAAGTTTGCATGTTTATTTTATTTTATATTATTTTACATACAACCTTCTAATTTTGCAACTAGTTCAGCTACTGCTACCAGCTTGCTATGTATGATATATTGCACTACTCATGTATTTCTTTCTTCACTTTCTCATGAATGTGCAGTTACTTTGTCTTGTGTATACCGTTAACCTAGATCCATATATATCACTTGGATGGAAATTGGTCACCACCCGATGTTATATGTGAAATGTATCGATGTACAACAAAAATGTTTAGAAGAGTGCTTGTGCATCTCAGGAAGCAGATGTAGGCACACTATCAGACTCAGCCAGGCAGAGTGAAACCACTACCATTAAGGGCATTTCAAAAGATCACAACCCCCGCCACAACCACATTTTATTAATGTTTTAGAAATTTAGAAAAATAAATTAATTTGAAAGTAAGAACCTCTGCAGATGCTTTGTTGGTGTTGTCCTGCTGCTGGGAGTAGCAGACATGTCAGGATCAATCTGCATTAACGATCCTAAGTCAGGATCTTCCAAAGAATAGTTTTTTTGGACTTACTGGTGGTTGTTGGCTGCATTAAAAGGACTCCTGGATCACATTACTGGGTCTATCCTGCAGAGTTGCCAGGGTCAATAAATCAGACAGTGGGACTCAGCGCCATCTTGGTCACATTATAGTCCTTGCTCTTCTTCTAGTCATGCTCCCTCTGTCCTGAGACATTCCGGCTGGTTTCCTTGCATGGCAGACATATTCTTGGAAAAGTGCAGTGACCGCCACAAGGTACCCAGTCACAGACTGAGTACCAGTGGCTGCTGGCTGGCTTGCAGGAGCCAAGGGAGTCATGACTGCCATGGACTGACTTGTAGGGGGTCACCCTGGGACAGGTGAGTATGGTGGTGAATGTGACACTGGCTACTAGTGCTGCCTTTTATATCTATGTGCCACAGTATGAGTAGTTATTTCTCTGTTATGTCTCTTTGCTATCTTACCTGCTGGCATATAGTGTGTTTGGTTGCCATGGCAGCACATAACCTATGTTTGTGAATCTAGTCGAGTTTTTCCTATGCCAGAGTTCAACACACTATGTCTGCAGTGGTGTGGAAAAGTGGGATATAATCACCAAATCTATCACCATCACTAACACCGCCAAGATTAGTCATTAGGTACACTACCTTGTTACTCTTATCTACACCTTCAGTAAAGGGTCTCTGATTGCAGTAACAAACTAGACTCTGCTTCTAAGAGGTCTTGGATGACTAGGGGGTAACATTGGGAATGGCAACAAATCCACTGGTTTCATGACTGCAGACCCACGACCCACCCGTTGCCCAATAAACACACAACACCTG